TCTCGTGTGCCACTTTTTTGTTCTTACCACATTTTGACGTCATCTGTGATCTATTACTGAACAGACGCACGGCAACATGAAATCTATTTGTTAAACTGTTAACGTCATCCAACTGAAAAACTAGCTGTTATCTGTCGAAAATTATACTGAAATACAACTGTAAACATGTACCTGCAGATGGCGTAGTGCGTGCGCAAAACAAGTGCGAGATACGCGAATGTTTTACTTACGGGGGAGGTGACAGGAGAAAATGTAACAGGCACCGTAAAAGTTTTCAAAAAAGATCAATAAATTTAAAAAACGCGTGGTTACCCCCATATTTTATGTTATGAAATGGAGGTGGCGAGTCTATTCAACACGTGATTAGTTTCTGGTTGTGAGCAAAAGGTATTTAGACTATATTTTAGCTGAACCAGAAGAAGGCTGTCAGAGACGCTAAAAGTGCTGTTGCAATGATTTTGTTGTTAAAAACACAAAAAAAATGGTTTTTATGTTACGATTTACCATGCAGTTTTAAGATCTTTATAAATGTGTTTGCTTTTCTGTAAAGGCGAATTCGAAGGAAATCTGTGAAGAAATATCTTTTCCTTCTTTTTTTTCAGAAAATGCTGATGTCAGCATTTTATGTTGAGATTCAAGGCTAATTATGTCTGAAAAATGCGTAGCTACCCCAATTTTTCTTTGTGGATTCCAATAGCCCTTGCAAAGGTCTACTTTTCCCACGTGGTCCTTACCTGGCGCAAAAACCTTTGTATTCAGTAGGTTTTAAACAACCCGGCCCTGAAGTTTTCCTACTGGGTCCCGAGTAGGCCTGGGGCAGAGCGCCAAATTATGTCTCGCGATTCCTCGCGAACTCTCGTGTTCGTCGCGCAACCTCGGGTTCTGACCAGAGGAAGAAGTTCTTTATCCATTGACGTAGGGACTGCAGTTCTTCTTTACGTAAACTTATACAATATCCCGATGTTCGTCGCACCGAAGGAGACCACATTGCGTTGACAGGTGTAAAAGATGGCATTCAGTGCGAAGTCTCTTCGACTGTTGTCTTACGTACATCTTGTGCTGGGGATTTTGGCCATGGCTGCCGGGATTTCTTCCATGAACGTGACTGATTATTACAGCGGGTTATTTGGCATGGGAATTTGGCTCGGAGCTTGGGTATGTGTTGAATTTAAACAATTTGCAAAAGAGAAATCATACAGCTATAATTTGTTTTCGCAACTGTTCATGTGTGTTTCATAGCAAAATAAGCCTATCAGAATTTAGCTTTTAGTATAAAGTTTTTAAACCTGTTGACAGTGAAGAATTTTACGAGGATCCTTTCGAGAAGTCTGCAGACATAACATTGCATTATAAACATGATTCTCATAGAATTTGTTTGATTTTGTGCATGTAAATGGTTCATAATTCAAATTTAAACTTTAGCCGGAATTACTAAACTGTGAAAAGAATTATGCATTCTGTGCTGTTAATTAACCCCGTACCATTGAAACAACAAGATACAACAACCATATGGAGAATAATGCAGTGTGCCACGGTAACCAGCACTGCGAGAGACAGTAGTGTTGAGGCAGAGGTTTTCGTTTCGGTTTGGGTATTATTAAAGCATATTAAGGTCATAGGAGATCGAGTCAACTTCGAATTTGGCCCCGTAATCTTTCTGAAAACTGTATACAAGCTCCGTCTTTAATCAGACTATCCCAAATTGATCTGAGATGATGAAATGTTTTGCTGATAAAATTTCCACTAGAAAAGGCGGAAAACTGCTATTAACTGCTTCCTTCAAATTTAAGTTCCTTGTGCCTACAATTGTAGTTCCTTTGGATTTTATACAAGTTGCATGAGACCTTATTAACCACATAGGGACTTGTCAAAATCTTTCGTCTTCTCTTCCATAACTTCAATTGAAGTGTTATGTGTAATAAAGTTGAGCGTGTTTAAAATAGGATTCAGTGTTCAAGTCACTGATTGAAGCTAATCGCATAACATTCAATAGTTATGATTTCACTGAGGTCATATTCATATGTGTGTGCTGATATGCTCTATTCAGACAGTCGCTCCGTATTGTCTTTTCTTGAAAATTTATCGACACTTATTTGTGAATGTCTTTGTTGTATCGTTTCCTTCAAAATTCTATGTTAGATTATTCAACTTGGCTTGCAACCTGAAAGTCCTTAAAATCACTTGACCATAGAAAAAGATCAAAGCATTCCAATAATATTACAACAGTAATTTGTTGCTCATTGGAGATAAAAAAATAAGCAATAACAATCTGAACTATTGATCCTCTGGATTGGTGCTTGAATTTTCAGTAGTAAATACTTTAGTTCAGTCAACATTTATCTTTATATACCATGCATGCAAACAATTGATAAATATGCTGTTGTCAAAATAAAGATAAACATCACAAAATACCAATATTATGGAAGAGTCATTAGCATGAATATTTGCCACACAATTAACATATACAGTGCAAAGTCATGGCCATTTTGATGTCATGCATCATACAATGATAAGCAGGCAACCAACTCTTTAATTGTGATGATTATTTATGTTGGCTCTTAAGGATAATTTTTTAAGTTAAAGCCACTAATTCAAATTGTTTGAATGGTTGCAAAACCAGAGCTGTACAGCTGTAGAATTTTGCCAAGACTTGTAAAAGCCAAGGCTGTGGTCTGAGAAAAATTTCAAGGAGCCCAAAGGCTCCTAACCATGAAATCCTGGGTGCCCATGCCAGCATTAAAGCTTACATGAAAGAAGTAAGTTTTACCAGTTGCCCAAAGTCAAAAGTTAGTGGCCTGTGGCACCCAGGCGCTTCAAGAGCACAGCCCTGAAAGCAGTGAGACCCTGTTAAAAAGTCTTTTCCAATTAATTTTAGTCTTTTTAGGATAAAAACTAGCGATAAAAACTGATGTTTCAATCTCCCTGAGATCATTTTTAAGTTGTAGAAAAAGCGAATGAAGCATACATATATAAGTACAAATTAGGGCGTGAGTATGTCCAGCAATAAAATATGAAAATACAAGTGCTAAAATGTAAGTGTTAAAATAATAAAATACTATGAAAAACGCAATATAAGTAACTTTGCATGGATTGAATCAGACTGTTTGTTCAAAGTTGGCTTAAGCTCCTTTATAAAGAGCATTTCATAAATCAGACAGTGGAATTTACTTTGGCACTTTCTCAAGATCTTAAAATCAGGATATATGTCACTTGGGACTGTTCCATGTTGCTCTTTAAAGTGATTCTGTGATTCCCGATTGAAAAAGATCCTTTGTGTTCCTCAACGCGCTGCCAGAGGTGTCTGGATGTATACCCGACATGGTTTGCAACACAAACCACACTCCTAGTGGCAAACAACATGTTGCTGGTTAATGATAGGCACTTCTTTTCCTTTGGTTTGATCTTGTGTCTGATCTTTCAGCTTGTATACCCAGGGCAAATATCAATTCCAATTTTGCATCCTAGCTCCCCAAGTTGCCTTCGTGCGGAATTGGCTGATCTCTGATCCTTGAATAATAACACTATTCTGACAGGCGCTTCATTTACATTACTTGCTCTTGTGGAAATTGGATCGCCAGAAACTTTCTTGGTGACAAAATGAAAGATAGTCGATTGCATCAGTTGGGCTGGGTACTGATGTCAGGAGAACATCTGTGTGAGACGATCACATTCCAGGTGGAACAGTTGCCAGGTAGATGACAGTTTAACAGCACAATCCAGCATTGCTTTTAGCATTGACTTCTTGTATCTAACATCAACGTGGCTCTTGTAATGTAGTAATAATCCGGTGTCAGTTGGTTTTCTGTACACCCTTGTCTCTAGGTGACCATTGCATTTCCTGATCTCCATTCCCAGGATAGGAAGTGTACTGTGTTCACCAAGGTCCATGGTGAAGCTGACAGATGGATGGCTCTCATTTAGAGAGGAAAGGAATGCTTTGACAGCTGTTTCAGTGTCTGGCATTATGCCCAATGTGTCATCCACATAGCGTTTATAGAACTCGCGTAACTTGCCAGCAAGTTATTATGTACTTAACATTATAAATTTAATTTACATGAATTATATTAAGAAGGAATTAGTCAGCTCATAGGGGTGTAACGATTCATATTTGTTGCGGTTAGATTCAATTTCAATTATCGCCTTTTGATTTCGATTATTTCAATTCGATTTTGCAAAATATTAATGTTTTTTTAATTCTTACAACATGATGCACAATGTACACAACATACAATGCTAAACCCTCAATTTGAGGATACAATAAACAGGGTGTTTCAAAAGCTCGTTCCGATTTGTTTTTCTCCAACGTTTCATTATTTATTAACCTGTACCTCTTTAAAAACTAGGTTAATTATTTTTTGCTTATTTTTCAATCAATCATTCAAACTAATAGTAACCAGAATGCTTGCCTTTATTGTTAATGACCTTTTCTAAGCACCTAGGCATAGAATGTGCGAATTCCTTTAGCGTGACAAGAGTCACATTTTTCCATGCAAAGCATAGTCGCCTTTTCAGCTCTTTCATTGTTTGGGGGCTGGATCTTTGTATGTTGTCTCGTTAATGATACTCCAGAAGTTCTCAATGGGATTGAGATCAGGAGAGTTTGCTGGCCAGCCATCCCTGGCTATAAAGTTTGACAAATTCTTTTGACACCAGGTCTGAGTTGCCTTTGAAGTGTAAGCTGGTGCTCCATCCTGAATGAATGTCATCTCTTGCTTTGAGCTAAACAACTTCCTCTCTATCAGGCCACCTGTCACCTGACGCCTTGATGTTAACGGTTTCACTTCTTTCTCAAGGATTTGGTTGATGTAGTACTCAGAAGGTAAGGTTTGGCCTGTAGGTAGCATGTGTAACTTTATGAGCCCATGACCCATCATGCCATCCCACACCATCACCTTCACACTTTGCTTCACCTGGAAAGCTGGAGGAACATCACATTCCTGCAAGCCCCATACAATATCGTTTTTTGGATTAGGGTACTGGAAAAGATATTTAGGACACTCATCTCTAAATAAAAAATTGTCCCAATCTTCTGCTGTCAGCTTTGTGTATATCTTGGCAAATGTTAAATAGGCTTTCCTTTGCTTTTCGCTCAACAAAGGCATTTTGCTTGAAAGCCTTCCATCCTTTCTAGTCACGTATCTCCACACCATTATGCTCGAAACTTCTAAATTTTTCTGCCGAAGATTCTTGGCAATCTTCCTTGTTGAATTGTTCTGTTTGTACTTCACTTTCTCGATTGATTTTCGAGCACAATTGGTCAAAACAGACAGTCGTCTGAAACAAAGGCATCTAGTAGACAATTAAAATTGGTATTGCCAGCTATTTTAATAAATTCTCTACCTCAATTTATTGAAAAAGTTTCTAACAAACAATTTATTTGTTTAAAAAATTAACAACTTTAAATCAGAACAAACTTTTGAAACACCCTGAAGTAACAGGAACATTATAGCAGCCGATCTAGAAGATGCAGATGGATTCACAATCGTTTGGTCATCCGTCGCCATGTTTGAGGATGTGACAATGAGTGTGTCACGCATGGTTCCCCTATTTTGAAATTCTCACGAGGTGGGAGAAGGGCAACATTTTTACCAAGCAACACAAAATGGCATGCGAACTGCAAATGTCTTTGCTCGTCAATCAAAAATGCACATTTTAAAGAGTTCTTGATTCTAATTTCACAATATAATAACTCGCTGAGGGCACCCTGGGAAAGGTATGCAAAAAATTGACCCAAAATCGAAATCTGGAATCAAAGAATCGTGAACAGAACTGAATGGACATAATCACGATTAATCATGAATTCGTCGTTACACCACTATCAGCTCAGAGGTTTCATTAATCCTGTAAGGTCCAACTTTACTCAAAAAATGCTGGTTTTTTGCCATTAACTCAGTGTTTTGGTTGCCAGGACCCTAAATTGGCCTCAACTTTGTTAAAGAAGAGATTTCTTACCAAGGAGCAAGATTTTCCTGAGGATTACCTTGGTGAAAATCTTTCAAGGATCTTCAAGGATCCTTGAGGATCTTCATGAGGATCTTTGTGAGGATCTTCATGAAGATCTCTAAAGATCCTGGTCAAGCTTAAAGGATCCCCGAGGATCTTCAAGGATCTTAAAACTTCTTGCCAGGATCTTCAAAGATCTTGCCAAAGATCTT